GTTTTTCAAAAGTAGGTCGAACTCCTAGGTCAAGGTCAAAGAGTTGATATCCAGAGGAAGGTCTTGTCACAAGGAATACACATGTGAAGTTTGAAACCCGAAGCACCAACTGTTCAGAAGTTATGGTCAAGGTTAAAGTCTCATAAAATTTTGCAAAAGTGGGTCAAACTCCAAAGTCAAGGTCAAATATGATGGTACCCAAAGAAAGGTCTTGTCACAAGAAATACACATGTGAAATATGAAAGTCATAGCTCCAACCAATCAAAAGTTATGGGCAGGGTTAAAGTTGACAACAGACATACAGACAAACAGACAGGACAAAAACAATATACCCCTGGGATCTTTCGATCCAGGGGCATAAAAACACTTGCATATAAATGATGGTATTTAGACATGACAGTCTTCTTCTTGCGTACGAAATTATTAAAAAAAAATACCACTCCCTTACTCCTTACTGTCTTCCTCTTGCGTAAGAAAAAAAAATTACCACTCACACGGCGTACCATGTGAGTGGCGGTTGTTGATTTTCTACCTTACTTTTGTATACTATGACATAAAGTGTATTAGTTTGGCCCTGCATTAGACAGCCTAGTGTTTTAATGTAAATGCATGTACATCAGAGTCGTCCTGTTAAGCGTTCTTTGATATGGCAGCTGCCGAATAAGACAAAAACAAAGTCCAACTTGGGACTTGGTCTTTTTATATTGATATAACAATGCTTGGCCATATGAGGGCTCATCAGGTCGCCTAGCAGATGAGGACAGAGTTCTGATATCATTCGCGGCTAGGAAAAGGCTGTCCGTAAAATATCAAAGTAACTTCTCTTAACTACCTAGATATGACGTCATAATAGCATATGACGTCAAGTCACTGCGTACTTGTGCTAACATGACGGGAAAAGTGTCATAACATTTACATTCTTATCACATGATATCCATAGCTTGTAAACAAGGCCTTCAGAGATGACTTTTCAGTTGTCATTGAAATCGCCCATTATCAACACTTGGGAGGACAGGTCCTGATCGATTCGGAATAACAGAGAGCTGAAGTTGGCCTTAAACTTATCCATCGGGTATATTAGAGGTCTATATATTACAAACAAAGCAAAAGCTGTTGGTTCTAGTATTTGTAATGATGCACACTACAAGTCCTTTACGTTGGTGTTGTACCTGACGTGTTCGACATCTTTTGTAAATATCGCCACTCCACCCCTTGGCTGCAATTTGAGTTGTCGAAAAATGGGATCAGAACTTGTTTATGCATCTTCTCGATAGACTGCGTGAATATCTGAGTTTTGAAGCAATGTCGGTGGTACATAGTCTTTTTTTTGTTCAGCCAAGTTTTTGTGAAACACACAATTTCGGAGTCGTTAACAATACCATCATTTTCAATGTCTTTCCCGTGAGGGAGAAGGCCTTCTGTATTATGTAAAAGTAGTTTCAGACTAAAGTGTTTGTCGTCTACTGCATTTTGTCTGAGGAATTTTGGCATGTTATCAAGTGATTCCATTATTTCCGCTGATGCAAAAATGCAGTCTGTATCAAGATAAGTATGTTGTAGTTGTTCTACTTAATGCCGCATATGCCATTCCTGGTTGGAATATCTTTTGAAGCGATACAACTTGTGTTGTCATCATCCCCTGAACTTTGTGAATGGTCGCTGCCCAGTCAAGCTTAAGTGGCAATTGTTTTCTGATCGCTTTCCGTCCTACGAGGGCATCTTCGTATGTCGTTATATGGACAGCATTTTCTGATCCATGTTCATTTCAAACTGTGGCAGAAATGGCTTTTCTGCCTAGAGTTTTTTTTTTTTTATCAAATCGTATGAAAGTAGTAAATATGTGTGTTTTTCGCGCCCGGTTTATACGCCCGGTTTCGGCTATACGCCCGGTTTTTGGTAAGAACATATAAGAAAACGATTATACACCCGGTTTCTGGTAAGGATATATAAGTAAACGATTATACACCCGGTTTCTGGTAAGAATATATAAGAAAACGATTTCACGCCCAATTTTGGAGAGAATATACAGTCATTAAACGTGGATTAACAAACGTTATCGATTTTGGTAAGAACACAGCAGGGTCCAATGGTTAAGAGGTAGGGTATTTATGTTCACGGTATAATTAACAACCTTATAGTTAGAGTGGTTTTAATGTAATGGTATTTAAGAAAACAATTTCACCTCTGTCAGAATCACCTTATTATACTCTCACTTGAGATTGTTTTTAGTCGAAAATGACTAGGATTTAATATGCAATCAATTAAGAAGAAGACGTTTCATGTATAAACACGATTCAGCTATTGGTATATAAGAAATAGTAGCGTCTGAATAAAAATGCATCATTTAATTATTATGCGTCTAATTAGAAATAAATGCATTATTTTAATAAAGAAAATTGATGATCTGATGATCATCCCTCTACAATCTGTGTATTTGTAAAAGAAAGTGAATTTCACATCTGGTAGGTAAAAAGATTTAAGAAGTTATTGTCATAGATTTTTGATAAAGGTCATATACGAAACAGCAGTGTACGATCATTAGATGCGGGGTAGTCAAGTTAATGAGTATGAATGATCCTTATATGACGAATACAGTTAGCTCACATCCGACAGGTAATTAAATAGGTTTAACAAATCTAGACAAAATGACGATCCACTTATTGTCACGGTAAATGTTCCAACGATATATTAAGCAACTGTAAGATATAAAAGACTCCTATTAATTAAAGAAAATCTTCCTTTAGGTGATCGTGGGAATACGGAAAATTATTCAATAAATGAGGTGGATGAATACAATAAACATCATTGTAAGACATGTATTTTGTATAGAAAGAGATTGACTCCCCATAGGTGAAGGGAGGTAATCAAATGTGGTCATCAACTTAAGCAACGGAAAGAGCGAAAATGGTTATTGTTATGGTTATCTATCCGAGAACACGTTACGTCAACTTACGAGATACAAAAGACGTTTTTCCTATCAATTTAGAATCTCTTCCTTTAAGAGTTCGTGGGAATACAGAAAAGTATAACTGAGGGTCTGAATAAAAGAACCAGAGGAAAAAATAATAATTCAGCACTTATATTACTGACCATGTATCGTATGTTTACTGAAGTTCTCCCCTTACGGGATCTATCTAGTTTCTCACTGGAGTTAAATTTGTACAACAGAGAGCAACAAATTTACGAAGATGTATATTATTACATGAAGAAATCTTCACAAAATGTACGACCAAAGCTGCTATCGAGAATCGCTCGTAATTTAAGGATAACACAAGAGGCCATCAAATGCAGAGTCTGGACAGACCGAGGACAAACAGTCGAGGACCTGGATGTGCCATGGCACGAGATGTCTACATGTCATATGGGATGTAATAATATTGACTGCTTCCGAGAAATATTCTCAGAATATTTTGATGAGGAACGATTTTTCACGCCCAGACATTTCTTTAGAAGAATGGACATTGCCGTGAGAAAAATGCGTCGACGTCACCACCGGGAATTAAGCTGGACTGTGATTGGATATAGATGACATCATTTTGACTGATGACATCACAGACTGGATAATATTTAAAACCTTAACTCTATTCATTTCGAGTAATTAGACTACTCTTAACATGTTCCTGAGCGAGCGAATCACCTTAACCACTGGCATCTACCAGAAAGAGAAGAGAATAAGACTGAACAATGTGGACCATCCGGAAAAGAAAATATCCTTCTCCGACGCCGAGTGGTTGTTGCTAATAAACATTATCAGTGAAATTCACGTTCATGTGAAGAAACAGAGAGAACTCCTCAACACCGCCTAAAACCTGGGACTTACAGAGAAACGAGGAGGGAAACAAGCGAGTAACAGCGAAGAGATTCCCCGAGAGCAACGTAATCATAGTAGATTTTAGAGTCTTCAATTTCCATGTGGACCCTGCCCTTCCTACCAAATTTGGCATTGCACTGAACGAAAATGAATGGGAAAAATTCCAAGAAACATATCAGGACATCGAGCAGATGGATCAGTGCATGAAATCCATCATCGTGAAAATTCTGCGGAAGATGATTACACGTAAATCCAAGGAACGTTGCCACGGATGCCTGACGGATCATCCCAGCCAGAAACAACACATGGAAATGGGCTGCTTATCTTCGTGGGAGGAAAAGAGGGATATACACCTCCAGGACTGCCTGAAAAATATTCCGTCAGACATTATATTGCGGGAATTTAACGCAATTAACGGTGACGACTCGGACGGGGAGAAATACCTCCGGGACGCTAAAGAGGATAAGTGTTTTCAGACTGAACTTTCTAAATTGTCAGAATAACTTTTTTGTTGAAAAAGAGACTTTTGGGGGAGGGGGCAATTCTGGTTCTACATTTTTTACTGTATAGTGTCGTTTACTTTCTTGTGTAAGTTCAGAGACTATCAGAATTATTGTAATGCACATATATATTTTCTTACCATTTATATGAAATAAAATCTCTCACGCAGACTCGAGGTGTTATGAATTTATTGTACTATGCTACATAAAGGAGGGAAAGATATATATTTCTCAAAGATTGTATAATGTATAAACAATGCTGTACACAAAAAAATCATTTTGTTGCAAGTCATTACAAAAGAGTCGTTGAAACACAGAGAGATTACAGATTCTACTCATTACCAGCAAGAATAATATACAATACAGTCCACACGTTTGACTAGCTACGTCTTGTATCTGGAGGGTATTATATGTACAGAACAAAGAATTGTGAGCAGCGAAGGAATGTACCTGAGACGGTAAACTTCTCAGGTCCCTACCGTAACTATCAAATACGTAACAGTGTTGGGGCGAACTAAAATAAAGCGCTATCCAATGTTCTCCAGGTGTAGTAGAAAATGTAGTGTTAACAATATAAGCACTGGGATATTGTTCAACATTTAAAGGTAAATTATTCGGAGAAAATACCCCTTCAAACTGAGAAGCTAGAATAAAATCTAAACGACAAAGGTCAAAAATGAGGTGTCCGTTCATGATATAGAGTTAAGAATTATATTTCTAGTATTGTCTATTTCAAAATACGAGGGGAATTCTGCATAAAGAATGCAGGAAACGGTCTCTGTAAGTGCCTGATCGAAGGCCAGTTCTAATCGAACACTTGCTTGATTCATCAAAGAGAGGGTGTCGGTGTTTCCAAACTGAGGTTGTAACGAAAAGCCGTAAAGGCAGTATCCATATTTCCAATCATTTCGGTCAATGTTGTTCCCGGAATCGATTTGAGATTTGTCAACAATATCGAATAAACTGCGGTAAGCGGAGATGTAACAGTTTTCTTCTATTTTGTAAGGCTGCCCGGGGACACTCACATTATTGACAAATACGCCGACATGACGAGCGCCAAATGTTTGAAAATTAAAAGGGTTTTTTAGATAACTCCCTGTCTGAGCCTCCGTGGAAACCAGTCCGAGAACGATTTTACTGGGACAGCGGGTCAAATAAATGTTATCCCAGATGAACCGGGTCTGTCCGGTGGCGATAGAGGCTACTTTAAGGTCTGTGTTAATTAGGGGATATTTGGCTGTTGTCATTTCTAAAGTCTTTGTGTGCCCTACGATGATACCTGGTGACACCTGCACTCTGCAAGCCCGGAAAATGACGTCATCAAATACGACCTTGTAGTGTGGGTCAGTCTCAGCGGACATGAGACAGAAGGATGGGTTTTGTCGATAGAGTTTAATGTTAACGTCCACTCCATTCAGCACAAAACGATCAAGTCGACACACATCTTCTAAGATAGGCCCTTCTAAATCAAAAGATAAGCTTTCTTTACAAAATGCGGTTCGCGAATATAACCCCGAATTAGCGCCGTTGGGGTCCGTGACATCCATGAAGCCCGCATCATCCTTAAAAAATAAGCTGCACTGGAGTTGGGATTGCTTAGCCTCCTCACCGTAATTCAACAAATTCTGCAGGTAAGCTTTATAAGCATAGGTTGCGCCCCCGCTACTCGGGAACTGTTTTCCGTTTAAGGATATGTCCACCTGATTAAAGAGACTGTGCAAAAAATTATTCACAGGACCCACTTTCTCATCCGCCCCGATAGTGGTACCATCCGTCTTGAAGATACGAGCTTTTATAAACAACAAACTTTTTTTCAAGTCTAGGTAATCCCCAGTTCCAGGTACATTAAATTCTACGGGACCGTTTTCGCTTATCTGAGACACGGGTCTACAATCCACGTAAAAGTTACGAGTCACGGCTGTTTGTGTCAGGGGCAAATTAAACAGCAATAATTCCCTGGGCAACCCCTCTTGGAAGTCTGCGTAAGCTAAGCTCGTCATGTTGGTTCTAAGTATGAGAAGTCTGTTTTGCGGGTTTCTTTTTATTCGCAGAGAAATCACGTCTCGATGCAAGTACAAGACTCTGATCAATGTAAGGCCAAATTCTTTTAAGGTACTCCCACTGCACTGGGTTTAATTGTATACCTTTGATCGTTGCTCTATTGTTCATAAAACGTCTAAAATCGATTAAGATCGAACCCTGATAAACGCAGACGCTAACATGCACCGCGTCAGATAGGGGAAACGATTTTAAGTAGTCACAGAGAGTCGCGTTAAAAGCTCTAGTGTCGTTAACAACCAGGGGAGAGACGTGTGTGTTATTCCAAATGTCTATCGTCATCCCGAACACAATGAAAAATGGCATCAGCAATAACAACACTCCGGTAGCCTTTACAACCCTCAGAGGTTTCTCGAATTGTCGTTTTTTACCCATCAGCTGTGATGAGACGTCTTCTTCAGGTTCCATTTCAGTAGTCGAAATTATCAGAATGTTTTAGCTTTTTACTCGTTTTTTTCCTCTTCTTGGCCTTTACGCGACGTAATTCCGACTTGGCTTGTTGTAAATCGCGTTGCGTGGGCGAGACAATGGTAATTTCCGGTGACGAATGTTGTTTTTCCCCACCTCGCGAAATGTGACCAGAATCAATGGGTACTATTGTAGTGGTCTTAATGCTACCATTTCCCAAGTTTCCTCCAGTCTGTCGTAATGAGTTATGTAAAATCGGTGTAGTGGCGGAACGCATAAAAAAGTCAGACCACTTTTTCGTGTCTGCCACATATATTTTTGAAGAGCGCATGCCTAAATAAAGGGGTATTTTTTAAAATGAAGCACTAAAATCACGTTTGGTTTCGGTGGCACTGAGCTCTCCATGTACACTCTTATAGAATGAAAGTCTTTAATGACAACAGGCATATACATGATACGCGAAAAGGCGACGTCATTCCTCTCACTCTGCAGAAACAATCTTTTTAACAAAGGTCTTTTCTCTCCTCCAACGAGGGTATCTGTACAAATATTACTGTATATTCGCATTTCACACTCCCTTTCCATGTCGAGACTTAACTCGCAGAGCCCCACATACCATCGACCTCGTAGAGACGTGTTTGGTGTGTGAACCCGGAAATCATGAGCAGCGTTATTGGGAAAATAGTTCAGGGAGTCTTTATCCGAAATGACCATGTAAAAATCCATTCTAATTTAATTCCTTGAGGTCGCTTTCGGGCACCCAGCTATTAAAACTCCGAGGAAAATTTAACCACTTAACTAGTACATACGTCTTTTTATTTCGTCGTTTTTTACGCAATACCTTCTCCACCTCCCACAGAGCATTCTCGGGTTTCTGTACTTTCTGAAGTTCAGGTTCATAAAAGCTACCCGTCAGGTCTTCATCATTTAAATCTCGTAGTTTATACATAGGAATGTTTTGTTTCAGGAACCTGGAATGTATTTTAAACACCTCGCCTGTAAATTTCTCCATGAACTCACGTTCAAAGGCATGTTTTAAGTGTGATATGCGGACAGTATCACCAACCTTAAAACGAAAATTTTTTTCTTTTTATTCTGCTTACTTGACTTTTTATTCTGACGCCGAAGGGGAAAGTTAAAATATTGCAAAATAATTTGGTCGACTTCATTTGCTTCATTAATGTCATTGGGCGCTTTAAAACCCAGTGATCGATGAGGTGTGCAATTGTAGTTGGACACTAGCAGCTGTAGTTGTTTAGCGTATTTAAACGAACGCTTCTTTTTCATGTATCTGTGCATTAAACTTCTCAAAGTTCTGATCACACGTTCTACATAATAACTTTTAGATTCGCCTTGAGTCGTGAAATGCTTAACTCCGACGGAGGTCAAGTACTTTTGGACTTGTCGAGCCATGAACTCCTTACCCGAGTCCGTTCTGACTTTGCGCGGTAAGCCCATCTCTCTAAAGCAACGCTTGAGAGCGTTCAATACACTAGCACTCGATTTATTTTTCAGTGGAGCTACCCAGGTGTATCGAGTAAACATATCAATGACCACCAATAAATATTTAATATCTTCGTTTTCTTTTGCGTGAAATCCGACATCCATTAAATCGGCGTCATATTGATCTTTTATTCCACCCGCGAAGACTCGCGCTTTCTTAAAGCGTCGACGCACAGCTTTGTTCATCGAATACACATCCTGATTTTGTAACCATTGCCTTATTTTGATCAGACCCACTTTGTATTTGTTCTCTTTTTTCACCTGGTGCCATAACTGGAGAGGACCCCTAAACGCACCCGGTTTCTCGGGATCGAAATAAAGTGAACTTAAATATTCTTGGAGTTCTTCGGATAGAGGCATTCTTTTTTTCTTAGCTGGTTTCCAAAAAATGACAACACAACAACACTGTTTCCTTTAGATCGCACAGTACGCTCCACATTTCGGGGGATAAAGAGAGATCTCGCTTCCCCTTTTTGATTTTAACATAGTACCGATGTTTTCTTTTAGATACGGTCACTAAATGAGTCGCATTGATATGGCACTTTATTTTACGTTTTCCTTTCCAATTGACATTCACATTCTCTCTGATACCACACATTGAGTCGTGATTCATTTTCCACCCTATATAAACTAAATTTATACAAAAAATACTAATAAAGAACAGGTGTTAACATGGATCCCAGCGATTTTGCTTTTAAGGTACCTTTCTCATTATTTGTGAGTGGTCCCAGTCAGAGTGGTAAAACGCGATTTACACAACGAATCTTAAAAAATATTGACAAAGGGATTCTCTCAAAACCAATTAAAAAGATTGTGTACGCATATTCTCAATGGCAGCCTACGTTTCAAGAAATACGAAACTACAACCCAGCTATCATTTTTTATGAGGGACTCCCTTCCAAAGAGGATATGGCGGAATGGGCGGGAAGCGGTGAATTATTACTCATTCTAGACGATCTAGTATACAGGGTCATCCAGTCCTTTGATTATATGGAACTCTTTACCATTCATGTACATCATATGAATATATCGGTCATATTTATTTCGCAAAATCTGTTTCCACAGGGCAAGTACAGTCGAGTCATTTCTTTAAATTGTCAATATCTCGTACTTTTCAAAAATCCGAGAGATAACTTTCAAGTGAAATACCTTGCGACTCAGCTTTACCCTAACAGAACGCCATATTTTCTCGATGCGTATGAAAAAGCGACGCAAAAACCATACTCTTATTTATTGGTGGATCTGACCGTAAGTGGACAAAGAGATTATGCGCTGCGAACAGGGATATTTCCTGGTGACCTATTAACAGTTTACATGAGAACAAAGACATGAATGACCGTCTTCGTCGGAACTGGGCTTTTTTGAATTTGTTAGCTACAGCCAGTCCCAGACAGCGCCGAGTGTTATTGGAAACTATCAGTCTTAAACAGTTAAAGACTCTTTTGGAAGTGATTTACAACGTGATTCATAATCGAGAAATTGTCCCCTCAGATTCTTTTATTAAGAACCTCTACAAGTATCGTCACATTCTGCGTCGTTTAGCTAAGAAGAAAGGGAAAGATAAAAAATCTCTGTTACTAAGACGCCACGGATTTCTCCCAGTGTTACTGAAACCTTTACTCCCGGAACTTGCTAAATATGTCTACTGAATTTATATTAATTCCTAAAGAAGAATACCAGCGACTGAAGAATCATCCCGCCGTGAGTAACAAAGAGATGAAATCCCCTAAACTCCCACTGAAAAGATTGGCCGTTGTTGGAAAAAAAGAAGCGCCACCTGGAGTAAAACATTCCACAAAATGGATGTCCTTCTGATTGTATTATTAATACAATAAATTTATCTGTCAAAAAATCAACAACAAAAGTTTTTTTTTCTTTTTGATTTATTAACATACAAAGGGAAAAAAATCAAACTAGTCTTCTATAATCATAAGGAATCGATTACTTAAATGGTTCCGATCAGGTAAGACTTCAGAGTTCGTTTTAAAAAAAATGTGTTAAAAATTTAACAGTTCATTAAGCGGAAAAAAGCTGAATTAAAAAAATGCTATTGCTTTTTTTTTTTTTAAGGACAAGTAATTCACTGAATACATGTAAAATTTATATATATTACTTGTAGAAAAAAAAAATCATAACAAATTAAAAACAAATCTGCAATTATAAAAGATTGAACAACTCGCTGAAAAACAAATCTATACTATAATCGTTAAAAGAAAATAAATTAAGTTAAAAACAAAGGTTTTCACAACAGTTCGCACTTTGGAAAGGGGGGGGGGGGGGAAATCACAAGTTCATTCCTGTTTCATCGAATCAGAAAAGGGGTTTCTGCTGGTGTCCCGAAGAAAAATTGTCTCGGAGCTTCCAAGGTCTTCTGCTGGTGGTATCTTTGCGAGTCGTCTGCGGCAAAAACGTTTCTTTGTCAAAAGAAGAAAGACGACAGCGAGCAATAACAGTGACAGGATGCTCAGAGTCACGACAGCTGCCACCAAGGAAGAGACTATAAAAGAAAAAAGGAGAAATGATTAAAACTTAGTAAATAATTATCTTTAGTGATTTTTTTAAAGTCCTTCTCAAATTAAATTACATTATATAAAATATACCTTTTTCTCTTTTATCATCGCCGTCCATGGGGTAAGGTTTGATGGTGCTGTAGAGGGTCGTGTTCTCCGTTGAAGTCTGATTAGTTACCAAATCAGGGGTTGCTAGTGTCCGATTGACGGTCTCTGTCGTTGTCTCCGTCGTTCTGGTTTTCTCTCCTGGGGGTTTGCCGGAGACGGGACGAGGCGTAGATGTTGTCTATAAAAAATTGAAATAATAATAAAATTTACTTTTTTTGTTAAAATTTGTTCATGCATTTAAAAAAAAAAAAATATCACTTTCACTTATAAATCATTCATCATTAATTCTCATACACATGTGCATTTAAAAAAAATGTTTTTTTTCCCGCACGCAGATAAATAAATAAAACATCATACCGAATAAGTGCAATAGCTCCTGTTGATAATCACAATTGGGAAACCAGCAAAATCAG